TTAGGGTTTAGGGTTTAGGTAAACTTGGGGGGGCGGGGGGGCGATGGTAGCTTGCCGAATGAGATCGGAGAGTTCTAAAAAAACACGAAACCCTAGACTCTGTATACAAACCCAGAGCCTTAAACCCTCACCCCCCCCAAAAAAAAAACAAGAAATTATCAGTCTCCATGTGTAGATAAGCCTAAACCCTAAACCCCTAAACCCTAAACCCTTAATCCAGACCCCACTGGTGCAAGGCGCTGGGACAACGAGGAGCCGTGGGTTTGGGGAAGCTTTCAGGCTATGCTAGGGCCGTTCAAGGGGGTTCGGAGGATGCTGCTGCAAGGACTCCGTTAAGAGGGTTCCTATATGGGTTTATAACGGATTCTTTTTGAGGGTTCATATGGGTTTATAACGGACTCTTTAAGAGGGATCATACATGGGTTTATAAAGGACTCTTTACGAGGGTTCATATATGGGTTTATCTATCAAGTGGCTTTGCAGCAGTAGGTGTTTTTGTAGGTGAATCTTGACTTTCCGATCAGTGTATATTGTCGTTTCGCATGGGGATACTCGTCACAAAGCTTCGGACCTTCAACCCAGGTTTTGAGCTAAACCCTAAACCCCTAAACCTTTAAACCCCTAAACCCTAAACCCTAAGCCCCTAAACTTGGAGGCCTTGAATCCGACGGGCCCCAAAAACACCCACACCGAATTCATGCGGAAGGCGGCTTAGGGTTTAGGGTTCAGGGTTTAGGGCTTAGGGTCCAGGGTTTAGGGTTTAGGATTCAGGGTTTAGGGTTTAGGGTTCAGGGTTTAGGGTTTAGGGTTTAGGTAGAGAGAGTGCGAGAGCTCAGCGCTGCGCAGGACAGCTGGGTGCTGCTCCAGTCGGTGCCTTTGAAGGGCATCGCCGGGACTTTGGCCCTGCCGGCAGAGATTCAAAAACGGGGCCTAAATGGTTAGAATAGGGTTTGAGGTATAGTATATTATATTTATAACAAGGAACCACCAAAAACCCTATTTAGAACAGGGTTTGGGGTATAGTATGCTATATTTATAGTAAGGAACCCCCCCAAAACCCCTATTCTAATTCTTAAGGCCCCCAGAAATTACGGAGTTCGACTCCAGGGATGCAGATTAAGGGCTGAGGCTCTTGGGGCCCTTTTGGACCCTGTCATGCGCAAGGCGCCTCTGCGGTTTGTGTCGAGTTCACACCGGTCGTCCACGCACCCAACATGCATCAATGACACGTTTTGGACATTTTGGACGAGCTGCTTGGCCTTTCAGCCCGTGGGGGCGTCCAATGTCCATGTGAGGTACCTCTCTCTCTCTCTCTCTCTCACACACACACACCACATGCATCAACCATCCGGTGGCTGCAGTCGTGGGGACGTCCAATGTATTGCATCAAAAGCCAGTGTGGACGTTTTGGACACACTGCTTGGTGCTACGGTCGTAGTCGTGCTTGCACCCAATCAATCATTTTGAACACACTGCTTGGTGAGGTAGTCCACACCCACCATTGCATGGCCCGGTTTCAATGGCCTCTGGCAACCGCCCAGAAAAAGCCCTCAATGAAACCTAGAGAAGAGAACCCTTTAGTAAGCCCTAAACCCCAAGCCCTAAACCCTAAACCCTAAACCCCGAAACTCCGAAACCCTAAACCCTAAACCCCTAAACCCCAAACAGTCAGGTACCCTTCCATTTTTTTTGCAAACCGCCGTTCGGGGCCTTTGCCTCCGCTGCCTTCGCCAGGTCGGCGCCGTGCGCGGCTCTCGCGCTGTGGTGGGCAGGAAACTGCCCTGGGCCCGGGTTTTTGGGGCCCAAGGCGCTGCGGTCTTGTCAAGGCTGATATATATATATATATCTGCATATATATATATATAATACACACATACATACATACATACATATATATATATTTATGTTGTGTATATACATATATAGAGTATATTTTAATATATATATATGTTGTAAAAGAAGGTCTGTTCATTTCTTTGCCGCCGCACTTAGCAAAGACTGCCGCAAACGAAAACCAACGGCAAGGCATGGTTCAGGGTGCAGGGTTGAGGGACGGCTGCGTTTCAGAGCATTGCAAGCCGAGGTCCAACCGCATTCTCACGGCACTGGTCGCACGCTCTGCACGAGGCCTCTGTTTCTATGTACCCCAGCATATGCTGTTGTGAAAACCCTAAACCCTAAAGCGAAATGTACATGAGATACCTTTGCCACGCGAGCGCAGGTGGTACCATTATGTCAGAAGCTCCATCTGGGGTTGCTCCATGGCCAGGGATGGTCCAACGGCGAGGATGGAAGCCCATCGTGGAGAAGACCATGGAGGAGGCGGAACCGTGTCCCCTCTTTGGCGATTTTTGAACAAGAGCTCAGGAGCAGGTCATAAGACAGACGGTCCTTTTTGTAGACATAGGAACATGAGTACAAATATACATGTTTACATAACAATGTACACCTCCACACACATGTTGTCATGTAGGAAGTCCTGATTGCGGTCCATTGAGGAGAGCTCAGAGATTGCATTCCGTGCCCATTTATCAGCGGGTCGCATGATTCCAAGCGCAGGCCCCATGTGGAAGCTCGCTGCCTACCCCAAGCTGAAACCACGAAGCCCTCAGCTCCCACCCCTACAGCCAAGATCGAAGTTAAAACCCGGAAATCCAAAAACCACACCCCACCACCCTACTCCCCCAGACCCAGACCGTAAATTCAATTAGTTTGCAAAAGGCCAAGCTCTGGGTAGCACGTAAGATCTCTATTGCAATTTTTCGGGTATTGGCGAAGTAAATGCTGTCAACCCTAGTCCCAAAGCCTCCACACTAGTGGCAGTCTCAGAAGCTTTGCAATTGCCCTTGGTGCTCAGCGGTGAAATCTTTATTCCGAAACTACCTTTAACTTGCTGCAATACCCGAAACCCGAAACCCCAAACCCCAGGTTCCCTAAACCCTAACCCCTAAACCCTAAAAAAAGAAACAAACAGGTTGGACGAGACTTCTGCTTGGGCTATCTCGTGGAGCATAGCGCTCGGATGTCCGTGGGTTTCGTTTGCGATCAAAGTGTCGCCCAAAACCCCTACAGGATTATATAATCACTTCTATACATCTATATACGTACGTCAGTTATTTATCCAAAACCCTAAGCACTTGCCCCGTTTAAACCCGCAAGCCCGCACCCCCCTTATCCCCCCTGGCCAGCAGCGCGCTTCTTTGATTTCAGACGGTTCGTGTTGGCTTTGTGTTGCCGTTTACGATCATCTCCTTGTAGAACCCTATTCGAAGACCCTGAACCCTAAACCCTAAACCCTAAACGCCCTAAACCCATACAGCCCTGCAGCAATGCGTTTCACTCATTCCGTTTCCCTGAGGCCCTCCGCAGCGACCGCGACCCCGCGGATCTCGGTGCTCTCCAGAGGGAAGCATGTGGAGGAGGCGCGTTGAGACGAGGGGCCTTTAGGAGGGGTTCTGCAGAGGGCTTGCTTTAGGGTTTAGGGTGATAGGGTTCTGCAAGGGTTGGTCATAACTGTTCTGTAAGGTAAATGTGTAGGTGTTGAAGAGGCTGCGTTCCAAACTATTTGCTAGGAATGACCCGAACCCTCTATGCCCACTCCTGTAAACTTCCATGGGCTCAGTCCTTTTCATACAGGGACCGCAGCAGTGAAAACAGGGTTTTGGGGTATGTTGTTATACCCATAGGCCCCTAAGTAGTTCCTGTTTAGGATTACCTTATAGGATTCTAAATATAAACCATAAAAAAGGAACTACTTAGGGGCCGATGGGTAGTACATAATGAGAACCCTCAGGAATCATGTTGGTAATTTCTCATGCGCCCAAAGCCCTAAACCCCAAACCCCTAAACCCTGAACCCTAAACCCTACAGCCCTAAGCCGTAAACCCTAAACCCCTAAACCCTGAACCCTAAACCCTACAGCCCTAAGCCCCAACCCTACAGCCCTAAACCCCTAACCCCTAAACCGAGCTGAATGACCCCAGTGTGAGGCGCAGAGCCTCTGACCCGAAGTCCTGCCTCAGAGGTGCCGAACGCACGCATCCTGCGGTCGAAGTGAGATGGGCTTAGGCTTTAGGGTTTAGGGGTTTAGGGTTTTAGGGTTTTAGGGTTTAGGGTTTAGGGTTTGGGGTTTAGGGTTTAGGGTTTAGGGGTTTAGGCTAGGTTTAGGGTTTTAGGGTTTAGGATTTAGGGTTTAGGGCTTAGGGTTTAGGGTTTATAGGGCGTTTCAGAAAATGCCGGACGCCAGTATAAGCTTGAAGTAGTCAAAAAATTATAGTAGAATGTAGGGTTCCTGTTTTAGGAATCTTGATTATGACTAGGAAAAGGTATTCCCCCAAAAAAGTACCTAGGACCCTCGGAGAGAGCAAGGTAGCCGGCAGCCCCAAATTTTCTGAAACCCCCCAGGGGCTCCATCTTCCCAGTCCGCAGAGAACGGGCAGCCTTGGATGGCTCAAGAGCCCTCCGTCTTCAAGTACCAAGCCCTACAGAGGTTTCGATTAGGGTTTAGGGTTTAGGGTCTAGGGATAATGGGTGATTTATTCGTAGTGTCCTTATTTTTTCGCACAGATTCCTAATCATGGACAATTCTGGGGGACTGGTTGACGTCGTTTCCTTGTGTTGTTTAGAACCGAGTCCTAATCATGGACAATGTTGGGGACTGGTTGACGTCGACGCCTGGTAGATCCCAAACTTCGAAGCCTAAGGCCAGACCTCTCCAGTCGTGTCACCCCCGGCATCTTAAGCTCTATAAACCTTGAAGGGGTTTAGGGTTTAGGGGTTTAGGGGTTTAGGGGTTTAGGGGTTTAGGGTTTAGGGGTTTAGGGGTTTAGGGTGTAGGGGCTAGGGAGCCTTCCCAAAAGCAGCCCTTCACGCCCGGGCCGCAGGAGCAGCATCAGCTTAAGGCCCTTGGCCCCACCTTTTGAGGCTTTGGGGGCCTTGATAATTAGAATAGGGTTTTCGGGGCTCCTTATCAATATTATAATTGTAGTATAGTATATCCCCAAACCCTCTTCTAATTATTAAGTCCAAAGCTTCAAAGCTTCCACCATGGCTACCCGAGCCGGACGAGCAAGGCCTGTCCACCCGGCTGCAGCCTCGGACAGACCTTTTTCAAGGAACTGCAGCTGCGAATCGCGCAGTCGCAGCCTTGAAGCTGGCCGAAGGAAAGATCAGGGCCACTTGGAGGTTCATGGGTAGTTATAAGTGGGGTTATAAGTCCCCTAATTTGGGGTATAACTATAGTTGCCCTACTTATAACCCCACTTATAACTACCCATGAACCTCCAAGCAGTCCATGCATGTCTGCGCACAGTTTTTTTTGCACCGCTCCGCTGCACCTGTGTTCGCACATCGGGGTTTAAAAGGGAAAGCGAGGACGTGATGATGCTGCTGATGATGAGGTAGACGATGACGATGATGCTGAGGATGATAATGAAGAAGAAGAAGATGGTGGTGATGATGATGACGAAGATGATGTTTGTGACTAGCGGTTTGATTCTGTTTCTTGTCTTGGAAATTATAATAGTCATTCCTGCTCTTTGGTCTGCTTGTTTCTGACTCTGCACCCGAAGCCCTAAGTCTATATTCCTGCAACCTAATCCGAGGCAAGTATAGCTGGAGTTGTTGGATAGATCGGCCGCCCTGGGTGACATGGCTCACGCAGACACAAAAGAATATGTAAATAACTGGAAAATGTGTACGTGTAAAACTATATATATATATATAATTCTACATACACGGGCAGGGTCATACATATAGTGTACTGATAAGGATGCGCATGCGGAATAATATGACACACCTACTCTCGCACACACATACATACGCATACCTACATAAATTCATGCACATAAAGCCTCTAGCGTATGTCTGTGTATATGCATGTCTACGCATATCTGTATATTTGCGGGTACATATATATATATGTATATGTATATGTATATGTTATGTGTATGCATATATATATATGCATACATACACATTCATGTCATACCTTTACACACACACACAGAGCTGGCGCCAGGTACTTCGAAGCGACCATCCCCGAGCTGTACACGGACCCTACCATCCGTTTCAACAGACAGGCAGGCCCACCTCAAAAAAAGCCTACAAAACTCTCGAAGTCCCACAGACCCCAAACCCCTTATCATCATCCTTCCAAAGCCTGATTGCAAGCCCGAGAGATGAAATAGTAAGCCCCCTGGGCTTCTCGACCCCTCAAGTCCTAGACAATTCCTCTTCCTTTAAGCATGGTGCAGGTGAAAAACCCTAAACCCTAAACCCCCAAACCCTTAAGCCCCTAAACCCTAAACCCCAAACCTTAAACCCTAAACCCCAAACCTTAAACCCTAAACGCTACAGCCCCTAAAAGGTGAAAGACTGGGGTGTGGAGTGCCGGCCCAAGTCACTGCATGGAGAGCTCTCGAGTTTCAGCTGCGGCGTCGCTTTGAGGGCTTTGAAGGATCCCTTTGGAGAGCTTTAGGGTTTGGGGGTTTAAGGTTTAGGGTTTAGGATTTAGGGGTTTAGGGTTTAGAAGGGTGCCTTTAGAGCCTGACGGTATCACGGTTTGGGGATTGGGGTGTAGGGATGAACCTTTGAGGGTTCAAGTAGTGGCAGAAGTCTTTGGTTTAAACACCGGGATGGAATTCTTGAGCGTTCGTGGGTTCTTGTGCTTAATACTAGTCTTGACATATCACCGAAGCAGTCGTTCGGATATCAGGGCCCCTCAGTCCGTTCTGTGATCTGATCATGAATCCCCGCACCTTATATTGCCTGACCAGCAAGGTACACCATTGACGTCGGTGACGAGGAGGACGATCCGGGACCTCCAAGATGGAAGGGCTTGGGGGTGTAACGTTGGATTTCACGTTCAGGCCGAAAACCCCGCAAAGCCCTGGACACTAAACACTAAACCTAAACCCCCTAAGCCTTTGAACCCTAAGCTGGGGGTGCACGCCGCCTACCTCAGAGACCCCATGAGGCACACTCACGAACCCCTCCTAAAACCGAAACGTATCATAAAAGCCCGCGAAAACTGAGGCCCTAAAGTTCGGTTGCGTGGAGTTTTCTGCGTGGCTTTTGGCCGAAGGAGTGGCGCGATCTGTTGCCGAAGATGCCGGAGTTGGCGAACTTCCAGGCTCCACCTGTGAGCAGAGTCAGAAGACTAATTCATAATGCCAACCATAATTAGACAACGACGATTACGACTACTACTACTGCTGCTGCTCCTTCCACCACCACCCCCACCACCACCACCACCACCACCACCACCACTGCAGCTGCTGCCGCTGATGCTACAGCAACTACCATAAATAGTGCAAAAGCACTAACTGTAGACATCTTAATTAATGAAACTAGAAAGAGGCAAAAAATGATAAGCACTACTGGCATAATCGCAATAGAATTAGTCATGGAAATATGATGGTAATAGCAAACATCATCAGATGAATCAACAACAGCAAGAGCAGTAGTAGCGGCAATGCACTAGCGCCAGCACTAGCGGTAGCCGTCGCGGTAGCTGTAGCAGTAGCAGCAGCAGTAGCAGCAGCAGCAGCAGCAGCAGTAGCAGCAGCAGCAGTGGCAGTGGTAGTAGCAGCAGCAGGAGCAGCGTTGGTAGTGGCAGTGGCGGTGGCACTTGCAGTGACAAAAGTAGGAACGGCCATAGTAGCAGCGACACCCGCAGCGACACTGACACTAATCGCAACAACAATGTTAATCTCAATAGCAGAGACTGAACTATGATTCTGGCTGTCGTCGACCGCGGTTTCATGTGTTGTATCTTGCATTGCAACCCCCCCTGCAGTTGCCGGACCACATGCTGCAGAACAGCCGCCGTCAGCTTGAGGACAGGGTCTGAGGCTTTCGGGTTTCTGGGGCCCTGAGCCCCAAAGACCCCAAACCCCTGAGGGCGCCTCTTGGGTTTCAGCTGAAGCATGACCCAAAATCCTGAAACCCTAAAGCCCAAAACCCCAAACCCTAAACTTTAAAACCCTAAAACCCTAACCCTCATGTGAGAGATTTGTTGGAAGGATCTTTTCATCCGAACCCACACAGACATCCCAAGCCATCGACATCCCCCAAACGACACCCTAAGCCGCTTGTTGGTGGCACCGTCAAAGGAGATCCCCATCGAAACCCGGATGGTCCTTCCTGACGAGAAGACGGATGAGAAGTATGCGGCCTTTATGGACCAGGCCGACATGAAGTTGGCTTCGTTTTGTTTTTTTTGGCGAGTGTGCACATGACAGTGTATCTCTTTTCGGTGCTATTCTGGGATGCTAGAAATGAAAGGGCTACTTCTCAAATGACGTGAGATCATGTACTACGGAGGAGTGGGAAGAATTAGCCCATATATCCTTCTTTGTACTAGGGGCCCTGAAAGCCCTATTCCGATCACTTGGGCCCCGCAGTACAGGTTCCCAAGTTGCTATCCCAGAGCGCCCAATACCCCCTTAATTAAGGAAGATGCCTTAACTCTGAAAATTAAGGCCCCTATAACCCTGTAATTTAAGGCATATTCCTTAAGTAAGGGGTATTGGGTTCCCTGGGCACCGGAAATTCCCGCGTATTTGCACATGACCAGCACGCCTCCGAAGGTGCGTGCCGTGTGGAAAGACGAGGAGGAGAAGAAAGAGAGAGGCGAAGAAGTCCGCCCTAAGAAGGAGGCGCGAGGGAAGCGGACTTTGCTCCGTTTTTGGTGGCAGTCAGGCTGTGTAGAATCTGGCTTCGCTCAAACAACCCCTCTGAAACTTGAAGCTGGCAGCCGTAAATGCCTAAACCCTAAACCCTAAGCAAACCCTAAGCCCCTAGCTCCAGATCCTAAACTTCGGTTTCGTTCTCAAAGAAACCCTAAACCCTTAACCCGAAACCCTAAGGCTAAACCCTTAAGCCTAAACCCTGTGGTGCTTTTCAGCGGTCTCAGGGCGTGTCTCGCGACGATTGGTTCGCCGACGAGCCATGGCCTTGGCGGGACCCGTCGGAAAGCAGAGATGTACTATGTACATAGCTATATACTATGTTATAATTAGTAGAATAGAATATAATACCATATAGTCATATCAT